CCTTGTCACTTTTTAAGAAATGAGAATGATGGATTTATCAGAAAGGTGAGAAAGTGAAGAACATGGCACATGGAGCATCAGAGGCAGTGAAGAACACATTAGGAATGAAGAATGACAACAATGATTATTATAAGAACAAGAACCCTTTGGACAGGAAGAACCCTAACAACACAACCTGTCCAAGCATGCCTGGTCATCCTCCTTCCGATATTTAAACATTTCACAAAACTCATATTTTGTTGTTTTTTGTCTTTATAATCCTTTTTGATTCCACTAATAAATTGTCTGTACTAATAAGGGATATTACACAATGCCTTTTAAGTCAAAACACATGTTCAAACTTATTTCGCTTTAGACATGTTTTCACACTTGTGTTGACCAATACATGTTGAGACTTTGGTTTTTTGGTTCTTGAATATGATCTTTCTATCGAACACCGGTTTACGCTTCCTAATCCACCCCGGCCAAGCTATGTTTCTTTTTACATACACACGCACACAAACTCCCTTATGAGCATCGAGTCTCTGCCCATTTGATGGCAGACCTTGCGAGAGCATCCATTGGATCGACGCACTTCTTTAACAGAGGATCGTCTCCTGGCAAAAGGTCCCGCATCTCATCTGACCCGAGCATCACTACATTCACTGCCTGTACCAGTAGTACTTGCAACGCTATCCTCACAAGGTTCCGTGCTCCTTCCATGTCTTTTCTCTTCATTGCTTCTATGGCTGGTATCACTGTATGCTCCATTGTCGCCTTGTCTGGAAACACCGCCTCAAATCCCTGCTCATTTCCACAATCACAAAGTCACTTCATACTATGGTCAATACTAGCTTACATATAAAAACAATACATAGAGAAATGTTATTCCAATGGACACAACATAATACTGACATTGCTCTGGAGTCTCTCCTGGTAAAACCCTGCGGATAATGTGGCAGTAGTGGCCATCACACCTACACGCAGAGGATTCCCAGCTTCAAGAGGCTTCATTTTTGCTTCTCCCAGTTCTTTAGCAATGCATTCACCTATATGAAGCAGAGGAACCGAACTCCCTTCACAAACCTCCTCATACCATGTATGTGCAATATGACAAGGCATTAAGATTAATTTAGCTCCACATCTCTCAAGAGATCTCCTCTTGTTCCTTAGATTTTCCACAATCTGCTTTGGATCTGCCGGAGTACCCTCTTTTCTATGGTAAAGAGATGGATAAGAGTTTTCCTCGTATAAGAGAAGCTCCTTATTGAGTGTAGGATCCGAGCAAAGCACGAAGGGAATGGAGCTTTTACCATCTTTAGAGCTCCAATCCACGAGCTTCCTCACAAAATTCAGAGTGGCATCAGTTGAAACGCCTCCGATAATCCCCACCGTGTTGGCCTGCCTGAGCAAAGAATCTTCACAAAGACTGTTTCTTGAGTCATCATTCAGACAAAAACCCTTCTTGGCCTTGGGAAGATCTTTGCTTTCATCCATCTGCAAGAGGATTGAAGATGGTGGTGTGGCAAGAACACGACTCAGTCTTACCCTACATGAAATCCGACTCGAGTAGTATACATGAGCGAAACCATGACATGGATTGGTAAGAGTCTGAAGATACATGACCAAGCTTCTGTCTGAAAATGGTTCTGATACTTAGTACTCCAGATACACCTTTGACAGAACTAGCAAAAGTTTCCAACTTATTCCCTCCCCACGAACCTGAATCTTACTTCAGATTCAAATTTCAAGTCTTGACACCAAAGTTCCAATTGCAGATCAGATTC